AATCTGGCAATGATATGCTGTGGCCTACACATCACCTGCACATGGCAGGTGTCCAGGAACAAAACTTCTGGCTGGTAGAGCCAAAAGCTTTCTTCTACGCACAGCCCCACCCCCTGCTTGGCCATGGAGACAGAGGGGTGCAGATGGAAGGGAGCAGGTTAGTCTCCACTCAGGCGCCCCTGGACTGAGCCCAGTGCCCGCACCTGGGAAACAGAGGCACAGAAGCCCCGCTCACAGGGATGGTGGGGGACGCAGACGAAGCAGGCAGAGAGTCAGCTCATGCTAGGCTGAGGCCAGATGGGAGGAGACCAGTGTCCTAGAGGCTGCCTGCCATCCCCAGTGAAACGCTGGTCACATAGCACGAGAAGGAGGACCTAGAACATGTGCCAACCAGATCACTGGCTCCCCTGGCGAATTAAAGTATAATCTCCCTCTTCTATGCCTTGGTCTCAGCAGAAGCAGTGCTTCTTAGGCGGAAATTGCCACTTCCCCATGCCCACAGACGTCCCTTCCCTCAAAACCCAGCCCCTGCCTGGCCATTCACCCACCCTCCTCATTTAAGGATTAGAATTTTTTCAAACATTCCAGTCTTCAATCACCTATGTGGTTTCCCTCTGATTGGACCTCTAAGGAAAGCTGGGGCCAATATATTTAACAAGCCATTTTTTGAGCCCTGTTCATTCCTTTTTGCAGCCCCTGCCCTGCCCTTCCAGGTACTTACTATCCCTGATCCACATTCCATTGAAGCCAAGAATTTTCAGAACTTCCTCATATCGAAACTTAGCAGTTGTATTTTCTATTTTCTACGGCAGAGAACAGTCAAGCTGAGAACAAGCCGGAGGCTAACCTGATCACTAGGCGAGAGAACAATGATTCTCCCAAAGTATCGAAGGTCTGATAGTGAGTGACTGGATCTGCTCCTGTTTTCAGGGAACCCACAGCATTTTTACAGAACTTCCATGAAGCCCCCTAACCCAAAGGAATGATTTGCCTCAAAAGTTTATTTTAAAGCTCGGTGCTAAGGAGGCTAAGAGTGAGAACCACCTAAGCCTCCCTCTTCCCTCTGCCTGCCAGGAAACCCAGTAGTCCAATTTGGCTGAGAACCACTGGGTAGAGAGACCCTCATGACCACAACAGATGGGTTCTTCTTTCCTAGACTCTAACATTTATTCTAATTCAGATCCTTAACCTTGTTTTTGTAAGATATTTTGACACTGCTACATAGGACTTTTTTTCCTCAAAGTTTCCTCAAATATTTTGTCTAAGGAATTGGGTCATTATTCTGATCCAATGGGAACCATCACAGGTTTTGAACATACATGGAAGGTGGGTAAGGAAACTGTGCAAAGAAGACCCTGATTCTGCAACTTCTTCAAATCCCAGGCAGCAGACAGACGTCCTGACCCTGTCGGGCCAAGACCTGCCTCCAATGCTGGGGTGCACAAAGCCACACCCTGCTTGGTCTCTGAGACAGGACCCAGGAGCAGCAGCCCTCACTGGCCCATCTCTTCCTTCCAACGCACAGTGGTGACTCAGGCAGCGCAGCTCAGCAGAGCTCGTTCTGGGAGTTCTGTCCAGAAGGGGGAGGGGAGGCAGAAGGTAGTGGTGTGAACAATCAGTGACAGTGGGTCCCACTCATTCCCCAAGTCTATTTTATGACTTTAAACTCGGTATGCAAATTTATGCAAGACGATATGCAAAGCAGTGCTCAGAGCCAAAAGTCCCGTTGCTTTTTTCCCCCCTTTTTTGAATTTGCGAACAATCAGTGACAGTGGGTCCCACTCATTCCCCAAGTCTATTTTATGACTTTAAACTCGGTATGCAAATTTATGCAAGACGAGATGCAAAGCAGTGCTCAGAGCCAAAAGTCCCGTTGCTTTTTTCCCCCCTTTTTTGAATTTGCACTGAACCACTGTAAATCAGTGCTCGCCTCTGCCCCTCTTTATTCTCCCCCAGCAACTGCAGATGCAGAGTCTCCCCAGGCCGGGCCACCCGCCCGCCCGCCTGCCTGTCCGCCCTGGGACTTTGAATGACTGCACATTTCTATAGTACCTTTATATGTGCAGCGGGCCAGACGGCCACTTGGGCAGCCCCGCCCCTCGGCATAATCCCCTGCATTGTACAGGGCAGGGAAGGAGGCTGGGGGGATGCCGGGGGGAACCAGTCCAGCCTGGCCTGAATTCTGAAAGGGCCCAGCCTGGCCCAAGCCTGCTCCCTCCTCTTCCCTCAACATTTCTAGGCACTGCTGCCCACTCCACCAGCAAACACACCCACACACTTTTAAAGTCATGACTTCAGGCAGATCTCGGGGTCCCCCTTGCATTTTTCTTCCAGGCCTACCCACCCTGGCCAATCTGATTTCCCAGTTTCTCTGAACCAACAAGTCCCAGCCCATCACCCCCATGAGTTGCAGGCTTCCTACCACCCACTTCTTCCCCACCATGTGCCCACCCCACCCCCCTGCATCCCTGCCATCCCCAGGAAGCCAGCAACACAGCTCCTGAGTCCTGGGAACAAAGACAAAAGAGCTAACAGCAAAGCCGGAACTGCTGGGGTTTGCTGCCTCGAAATAAGAGGGTATGTTTAAAATTCTCAAAAGCAACCTGCTCAAAGAGGAATGCAGGCTGGGGGTTGGGGGGTGCTCATTCTTCACAGTAGGGAGAAGAAGAGATGGGAGACGGAGTAGGAGGCAGCAGCATTCAGTGCTAAGGTCTCTGTCTGGGCCACTTTCAGTCCCCACCCCACCCCACAACTCGGACCCCAGCTCTCTCCATACATACAGCAACTCCAGTCCCTCCCCCAGCCCACGACCCTCTCCCACACAGAGACCTTGCCCCCTCCCTTCCCTGCACCCCATGCAAGCCCAGGCTTCTCCCCAAAGTGCCCCCCCACCCCAGCCCTACTGATGTCTCAGGCACCCCTGCTGTTGTTGGTCACTTCTTCCAAATGCACCTATTCAGCTTCCACCCCTTACTACCCCCACCCTCGCTTAGTGTCCCCTCTCCCCAGTCTGTAGCACAACAGAAAAATGCAGAAGGCGTCTGGGCATGGGAGAAGGCTGAGGAGACAGCTGGGGCAAGCTGGCGGAAGGGAGTCCCATAACCAGGCAGAAAATCCAGAGTGACATTCTTCCCATGAACTCACCCCATTGTCCCCAGACTCCCCTGACAACTCCCCCCGCTTCAGGCTCCACGGAAAAGTGAATCGGGGAGAATCTCCCAAAACTGTTGCCTGCTAAAGACCCTAACCTGCTGCCAGGGTATGAGAGACAGGAGAGTCGGTGTTCAGGCTTAGAGTGAGATGAATGAAGAGTGAAAAAAATGTTAAAACTTTGAGAAAGGAAACGCACCACGCACTTTATTATAACAGTCCAAATCCAAACGACTGTATGAACTCACAGGCCTTTTGAAAAGTCCACCCTGCTGAGGAAGATGATTAGTTTGTCAGAGTTCAGCTCAGAAACCTCACAATACCTCCCTGGTGGGCCACCAGGGTGCGAGGAGGAACGTGGGGGGAGGGGGTGACAGGCACCCCACAGTCATAGGACTTTGCTAAGTCTCTTTCCTTCTGTTATTACTCTCTAAGAGGAGCAGGACCGAAGGGTTAATTTCAAGGCAAGCTGGGGAGGAAAGCAAACCCCGGGAGAAGAAAGGGACTGAGAGGCTCCACTTAGAAGCAGCCCTAACCTGCTCTGCACTCAAGGTCAAAATGTGTCTGAGACATAGAAGAAAGATTTTAACTCTGACCCCTAACTCCAATCGGAGTGAGAACAGGGAAAAAAAACAATAGCAGGCGGGGGTGGGGGTTGGGGTGGGGGGTGCCTTACAAAGACCACAGGAGCAAGCATGTGTTTTTTTTTTTGTTTGTTTGTTTTTTCCTTCTTTCTTTTTCTTTTAATTTTTTTCTTTTCCTTTTTTTTAAGTTTGAGAAACTTGGTCAGACTCGCTTGCTTTTTAAACAGCAGCAGCAGGCAGTGGCCACATTTCACCACTGTCTCCGGGAGGGAAGAAAGTAATTACAGCTTCCTCCAGACCACTGGGGCAGGAGGCTTCAGTAATAAAAAAAAAAAAAAAAAAAAAAAGGCGAGCTCCGTGTAGCCTGGCCGTGTTCCCCAGATAACTTTCTGCGAGGGAAGAGGGTCCCTTTACAAAGAACCCCAGAGGGTTCTCTCAGTTTGGGCAGGGGAGTGGCGAGTGTAACAGATCGCTCAAGGAAGACTAGTTGGCTGCTTCCACCGGCCAGGCATCCTCCTGCCTTCCGACCTGGGGCGCAGACGCTAAACTGCACAGCCTGGCTGCTCGGTCCTGGGATTGCAGCCGGCAATCCCAGTCACACTGATTCAACTGCTGGGGTCTCCTGCTCGACTCCCACATGCACTCCTTTTATTTATCCATCCCATATAGCAGCAGAGCCCTTTTCGTTCTCCATGTTAAACAGTAGGGTTCGTTTTCATTTCTTCCCCTAAGCAATCCACCCTACAAAGTCCTTTCTTCCCACCTCACCACCCCAGTAGAAGAAAAGGGTTCCTCAATGAGCCGGTGCCTCCTCTCGCGCCCCCTCCTCGCCCGCGGTCTCTGTTGTCACCGGCACCCGGCCGCCTTCGCCTCCCAGCAGCGATCCCCCCAGGATCACCAGGTGACCGACCCAAGTCATGCACCAAATAAGCTTAAGGTCCTACTCCCACATATCTGAGCAACACCCTCCTCCCCGGCACATCCCCCCTCCAGAACAGAAGTCAGGGTAGTTCCACCCCGGGGAGACTACGGTAACGGGTACCTTTCCTCTCCCCGCTTATGCCCACCAGATTAGCAGCCACGGCTCTTTCGCTCGCTCTAGCTACAGTTTCTCCCCCGGGCCTGACTTTCGGGTCCCTGCTTTCGACAATCCCCCTAGATCTGGCCAGGACTCCAATCTTCCTCCCCTAAAACAGTCCCTGAGGTCCCGCCGCTCCCCCGCCGCCCTCCAAGTTCCTCCCAACTAGTTGTCCCAGCCCGCGTCACCTGCACCCTGCTCGGAGCTGGCATCGTACTCGGCGTCCCGGCGCTTTTCGCAGGTGCCCTCGCCCAGGACCAGCGCCTTCAGAGGCAGCTCGGAATCGGGGCGCGGATAGCAGCGCAGCCCCTGGGCGCAGCGCGGGGTGTAGACGCCGCACGCCTCGCCC